ACTTGGACCCTAAAACCTAAACCCTAACCCCAAGATTTGGGTACTTGGACCCTTAGGGTTGGCTCAACCACTTCTGAAGCGCCCCTTAGCTTTGTCGCGGGGAGGGGAAAGCTTGTCGGCCGGCGGCATAGATCTATCACCCGTGAGGGCTTCGGGGGCAGGAACAACCCTAAACCCTAAGCCCTGAACCCTGAACCCTGAACCCTGAACCCTAAAGCTAGCTTTGCCTGACAGCTCGGGTCTTTTTTCTTAAAATCGGCGGCCCTTAGCGACCTTTGCGATAGACTGTGGGGATAAAGCGAATACCCAGGTTTGCATGCGCTACTTTTGACAAACTCCAACCTGGGTCAGTTCCATCTATACTAATAGGGTTTAGGGTTTAGGGATGGGCAGTGTCTAAACAATGCACAGGGGGTCATATGGGGGTTATGTAGCGGAGTATTACTTATAGGGCTTATAAAGGGGAACCCTAGGAGTTTAGACCCTAGCTCATACGGAGTTATTATGGCCTTGATGTACCTACAATAGTTCCTTGTGGTACCCATTGCTGGGTGAGGGATTGACCCAACTCCAATCATTGAATGACCATGGTGGCACTGAGGCTCTCGCGATATGAGGCCATTTTGGGGGTGTTGCTGTTAAGGAACTTAAATCAATTTATTATACTAAGGAACCCTATTGCTTACTATATACCCATATTCTGGTAATTGATTTAAGTTCCTCAGCATCAACCCAGTTTTGTCATTCCTCCGAGCTGCAGCTGTTTCTGCTTGGTTCTGCAGTTGCTGTTGCTCACCGGATTCTTAGAAAACGTCGAATTAGTGGTTCTGCTACTACCGCTCCCCATACTACCCCCCCCCTTCCCCCTATGTCCGCACCTTAACTTTTAATATCAACTGGGCTTAGTTAAGGTCGATTCAGGGAGAACCTAGGGGATGGCATGGGGGATGGTAGGGGAACCCATGCTAGAAGCCATATCCTCTTTTGGTTTGCTGCAATTCACCATTGCCATTCAGGCCATCGCCAGGCAAAGATCTGCGGCTGAGTTTATCCGAGCTCGCGCGACGTCGAGCTTGCAGCTCCCTCAGTTTCAGGTTGGTTGTCCCTAAGGGTCCATGTATTGACCTGGGCCCCAAAGTAATTGCATTGGAAGTTCTTTGGGTCCCTAAGAAACTGTGTATAAATGGAAAATAGATGTATATATGTATATATACACCTACATGGAACCTTTGGGTCTGGCACATTCACTTGAGCATCCTATGCGTCATTATCAGATTTACTTGAGTTTAAGTTGCGATTCTTCCTTGCTGGGAACAAGCTTGCTCCTTCGCACACTTTGCAAATGTTAGCAACGCATAACCTCTATAAACTGCTCATAATCCCGGTTCGGGGTCATGTTCCATTTTCTTTTCCATTCGATTCTCCATTATAGTATCCCCCCTCAATAGTCTGCAAACTTCTTGCAGGGGCCTCGAGAATTTCTGCCAGAGCCTCATCTGGTTCACGCGCGCGCCGTTGCTTTAGCTTGGCTCAGCCAGACGTGACACCCTGTGGACCCAAAGTCTTCCAGTTCTCGGCCATGCGGCTATGTCTCCAATTAGTGATGAGCTTACGTAGGGTTTAGGGAGTTTACCCGAAGGGTCCAAGGACCCAAGTGATAGCGTTTCAGGGCCCAAATACCAATGATATTATGGCTTAGTTAGGGTCCTTGCACCCGTAGGGTTATGGTTTTTGCAGGACTGCTTAATACCACTTTAATGACCATTTGAGAGGAAGCTCATGAAGCTAGCATATGGGCATGGTGTGGATCCGGTTTGGAAGTAGCGGTTCTATTCGCCTCAGGAATCCTAAGCTACGCCCGTGCCACTGTACTTTGCCACCATTGCAACTAACCGCGGTCATCATGCGACGGTCCGATGGTGTCACATGAGGGTTTGGAGTTTTTTGGGGTCAGCAGACACTCAGTACAGGGGCACTTGGCAGGCATTGAAATCAAAGAAGGTAGAACAAATGTGACACCCCTAGATTTGACAGTGGGAACTTCCAGCATTTCCAAGTTTGCTTTTAAAAGCCGCGCTTCGGTTCTCAGAACAAGGGCCGTTGCGATTCAGAGACTTGCTGACCCAAGGTCTTCGTTGATGCGTGGATT